ATTGTGCTTTTCGGACCACCACACCCATTTGTTTCGTCTTTTTCGCTGACAATCTGATCGAATATAAGCACTCTTTTAAAAGTCACAGAAGATAAAAGAAGCGAAACGAGAGAGAGAGAGATTCACCCCGTTATCGGCCTTTGATCCGTTCAAAATGTTTCTTTTTCTTCTCCCAATTTTTCCACTTTCTTCGAGCTGAGTCAACTTGCCTCAAAATTACGATTACAACAGTGGTTTGGAGGCTTGCTTGTATGTTCCGGGGATACAAGGTGAGCAAAGCTTTGGAAATCAATTACACATTTTCCAGTCAGTTTTCCAAAAGTTATTGCTTTAATTCGCGGTCATCCTGTAGGATCGTTAAGATAGTCTAAATGATAAATAAAATTGGCTATAATATTGAACTTCGACTTGAAAATACTTTTCAATGATAAACCAATCATTTTCTTGAATTTTTCGGACTTGCTAGTCATTGTGCATACCGTAAATCTATTATACAGTAGCGGACAAAAGACTTAGCATAATTTAGTGTTTTTGTAATAAAACTCGCTGTTTGTGCAATATTTACCTAAAACTTCGAAATATAATAATAAACTTGATGTTTTAACAAAACAATTGGTATTTAGCCAAATAGAGTTTCAGAAAAAATTTTGAAGATTTTTATACAAAACTGGTGCGACAAAGACTTAGCATATTTTAATAACATATTAACTAAAGCTGGTAACAAATGTTTTTGAAATCAAAACAACAAAATTCGTTTTTAACAATTAATACTTCGTAGGAAAACCATTCGAGGCGATGACAGCATTACATCTGCGAGGCATGGACTCGATAAGTTCATCGATCGTCTTTTTTGGAATCTCCGACCACTTCTTGGCTAAGAGATCAAATTTATCCTGAGCATTTTGAGTTCTAATCCTTTTGCAGATTCTTCCCAGTTGCCCACAAATGCTCAATAGGATTCAGGTCGGGGCTTTGGCTTGGCCACTCCATAACGGCAAGGTTTTGTTGCGACAGCCAGTTTTGAACGAGTCGAGCCTTGTGTTTTGGATCGTTATCATGCTGAAAAGTGAAATTTGGAGGCATAGTTTGAACTGCATTTGGAAGCATATGGTTTGTCAAAATGTCCAAATAAACTCGTTGATCTATAATCCCAGTGATTCGCTTGAGTGGTAGAGTTCCATAAGAAGAGAAGCCACCCCATACGAGAACGTTCCGCCGCCATGTTTGACTGTAGGGAGAATGTAGTTTTATTGTATCTTTGGTTAACTGGACGTCGAATATACTGAATTCCATCAGAACCAAGTAGGAAAACTTTGCTTTCATCAGTGAACAAGCTTAATCTTTTCCACTGCTGAAGAGTCCACCCTTGATGCTCCTTAGCAAACTTCACTCGGGCTTTCCGATTTTTTGCTGAAATCAATGGTTTCTTGGCAGGACGTCTCCCCGAATAGTCCTTTAGCGTTTAGACGACATTGCACCGTTCGCGGAGTGATCTTGTCTTTCAAAGAGTTGGTAAAATCTTTGTAGATCTCAGTTGCAGGCTTCTGAGGATTGCTTTTGATAAGGTTTGAATCCTGTTATCATCTCAGTAGTTGTTTTCCGTGAGAAACCAACATTCTTTTTGCAATTGTGCTTCCTTTTGTCTTGAAAAGCTTCAGAAATTCTCAGAAACGGTCGACTGGTGCACCCTCAGAATGAGTAGCAATTCGATCCTGTCTCTCACCGGCTTGATGAAGAGCCACAATCGTATCCCGAATAGCAGGCTGGAGTTGTTTCTTGCGACCCATTGACTGAAATTAATAAAATAATAAATTTCAATCCAAATTATAGATCAAATTAAGAAAAACACAGAAAAATAATTAAAATTACTGGGAAATGCAAAATTATGCTAAGTCTTTGTCGCACCAGTTTTGCATAAAAATCTTCAAAATTTTTTTCTGAAAGTCTATTTGGCTAAATACCAATTGTTTTTGTTAAAACATCAAGTTTTATCATTATATTTCGAAGTTTTAGGTAAATATTGCACAAACAGCGAGTTTTATTATAAAAAAACTAAATTATGCTAAGTCTTTGTCCGCTACTGTATATAGAGTTGTGTATGTCTGTCTGGCTGTCTGTGCGCACTATTCCTCCGCTTCAGGTGGGCCGTTTCAAATGACTTATAATTAGTTTGGCTTAGAATTCCATGTAGTTGTGCAACATGGTTTTAAATTCCTAAAACCAAAAGTGCCGATGCGGATGGGAGTCGAACCCGGGTTGTGTGGGCTAGAGACAAGCCGCATTAGAGTTAACGTCTGGCCGAGTTAACGTCTCTCGAGCATGACCGAGCGGCTCTCAAACAAACGGAAGAGAGGTCGCCGCTTCGACTCCTCTCGCCGCCAAGTCTTTTCCTTTTTGCTGTGAAGCTGCTGGTACTCTAATCCATTCTCATAATGAAGAGCGTACAATCGCGTAGTCCTCAACTTTGGCGTGGTGGTGGCGTTCTATTAGAGTATCGGTAAATTTCAGGGAAATTCGATGATGCTCTCGTTTTGTCGACAATCTGGCGGAGATCTTCTCGCAATTCACAACGCTTTTCAAAATGCATACATCGCGTCATTGAACAAAAGTCGATAGCATTTATTCAATTAGAAAATAGCAGAAATTTTAGACTTATTCCCTGATGGAAAGGGTTGGATCGGAGCTAACGATCAGGGAAATGGCAACTGGACATGGAGTGATGGGAAAAATGGGATTATGATCGTTTATATCTTACAAGTGGGTGATTAGAGCCGATAACAACATCAGTGACTGTGTTTTTTTAGTATTTGGGTCAAATGTTGGGGTGATTTATTGAGATTGAGGCTTTTGAGAAGTATATTCGGATTTTAATGTTTTTCCCTTGAAGAGGTACAATGGGAAAGTACCGAACTTTTTTTACAAAGTTCTTTAAACCATTTGATAGCATTTCTCAACAGCTAGAAGTCGGAACTGAATCGGAACTGAATCACAACTGAATGGGAATCGAATGGGAACCAAACGGGAACCAAATCTGAACCGAATCTACCCAACGGTGCCAAGGAATTTTTGGAAACCCCCATTGACGACAAATTTCCAAATCCAGTGTTTTAACGTCTAAAAAATGCTCATGTTGCAATGTATTCAAAGTTATCGACTATAAACCTCTCGATTTTCTAGATCATTTCGGCCCCGTCGCCTTATATGGATGCTAGTGAGCAAGTGTGTGGTGGAAAAGAGGCTCGCAACGTCTCCTACTCCGTTTCTTTGTGCTTCACCGGTGACCGGCTTGACAGAACTCACATCGACACCATCACCAATCACCATCAATCCCACCAATTATCCAGAACCGCTCAACTGCTTGCCATGTAAGTGTTTTGATGAAAGCTTGTTAAAGAAGTGGAGGAATTGGCGATTCAAGCTAGATAATTTAAGTATTCTAAACTCATTTCACGTCACCCAAAGACAGGCCGAGTTTCACAGAACTCAAACTTTTCTAATAGTTGTTCTAGTTGCATTTGCTATCACGAAAAGCCTGCTAAAGATAAAACATTACCAAAGGTTTCAATAAGCTTTTTAAAGAGCTTTTTAAGAAACTTTCTGTATAGAAAAGGATGAGTATTTAATATTAAGGCGTAGCTTAAAGACGTGGCTATTAAATGAGTAAACACATTTAAAACTCAAATGGAATTCTTGATGTAATATAGTTCGTTTTCCGAGCGTCTCTAATCTATTGTTAGCCCTATCTACGTCTGTTTGTCTGTCCTGTTTGTCATGTCCGTCTGTCTCTCTGTCTGTCTGTCTATCTGTCTATCTGCCTGTCTGTCTGTCCGTCTGTCCGTCTGTCTGTCCATCTGCTGTATGTCTGTCTATTCGTCTTCCCGTCTGTCCGTCCATCTGTCTGCATCCCATCTGCTGTGTCTGTCTATCCATCCTGTCTATCTGTCGGTCTGTCCGTCTGTCCCATCCTGTCTGTCCGTCATCTGTCTGTCCAGTCTATCTGTCTGTCTGTCGGTCTGTCCGTCTGTCCACCTGTCTGTCCGTCTGTCTGTCTATCCTATCTATCTATCTGTCTGTCCGTCTGCCTCTCTGTCTGTCTGTCAGTCTGGCCTGTCACTGCCTGTCTGTCTGTCTGTCTATCCGTCTGTCAGTCTGTCTGTCTGATCTATCTGTCTGTCTATCAGTTCATCCGTCTGTCCAAATCCCATCTATCTGTCCATCTGTAGCGTCCTGTCTATCCGATCTGTCCGTCTGTCAGTCCATCCTGTCTGTCCATCTGTATGTCTGTCACATCCGTCTGTCCGTCTGTCCGTCCATCCTCTGTCTGTCCATCTGTATGTCCTGTCTATCCGTCCTGTCTGTCCATCTGCTCTATCTGTCAGTCTGTCAAAAATGCAGTCCATCTGTGTGTCCGTCTGTCTGTCCTATCTATCTGTCTGTCTGTCTGTCTGTCTGTCTATCTATCTATCTGTCTGCTCACTGTCAAATCGTCTGTCTGTCTATCTATCTATCCTATCTGTCACAAATCACTTGTCTGTCTGTCTGTCTGCGTGGTTTTCCTCGTAAACATCTACCTATCTGGTGCGTTTGAAGACAATATTTCGCTTTTAATGTCTTTAAAAATTTGTGTATCAAAAATTCCACTTTTGAAGCAAACACACATTATCTGGCATACAAAAACAAAACAAAGCTGGGTTTTTCAATACGCAAACTCGCATGCTTAGAAAGGCTTTCATGCTCACGGCTTTCAGGCTTTCATTCAGAAATATATCGTTTCTGGTGCACTGATTGCATAAAAGGCAACGACTACAAGGCACTACTTGAAACGATCAAACAATAGCTCGAAGGGACAAAAGAAAAGGACGAAAAAGCGTTTCATTTGTTGCAACTTTGATTGTAACACAACTTTTGTGTTTTTCTTCTTTCTGAACGTTAAAACCGTAAAAACAATAGACTTTTAGATGAGGAATCGTTTGCTGAGACTGAGCACATCACTGGCTGTGATGCCCATTCAGCGATTTTGCTCACGAGAGGTACTTTAAAAGAGGTTTTGTTTTATAAAAGTACCTGGAAAGATAAAAAATCACCAGTTGCAACAGTAAAAAATCTTTATTCAAAGTCACAAACTTGCTAAGTTAGCAAAAATTTGACTAGAGGCTATTTTAGTAGCGATTTTTTTATTTTAGAGTACATGGTGTCGCTTTGAAGTAAATAGTAGCAAATAAAAGCCATTTTTTGAAAGGTTTTAATTAATTTTCGACTTGTTTAGAACTTTGTTAGTGTAATTTTGCCAATTCTACCTTTGTAAATGCTGGATTGAGCGCTCCTCAAATATTGGGTTACTGGATAAGTCCTGTTCTTCTTTTTTGACAGCAGACGGTCTCAAACTCAATCAATTCCAACGTATATTAGCTCATTAGAAAGCTGAATTCAAGATGAATAAAATGATCAAAACCGTTTTTGAATTCATTTAATTTTGAACTTTACAGGCGTTTTAGTGAGCTCAGCCCAAAAAGTGCCGAAATCGCTTTCGATAGTTTTTTTGTTTGACAACATAGGCTAAAAAACGTAAAAAGCGCCTAAACCTTTTTCCGAGAACTTTCTTTCCAACCTTTCCAACCTTTCCAACCAACCTTTCCAACCAACCTTTCCAACCAACCATTCCAACCAACCATTCCAACCATTCCAACCAACCATTCCAACCAACCATTCCAACCATTCCAACCAACCATTCCAACCAACCTTTCCAACCAACCTTTCCAACCATTCCAACCAACCATTCCAACCAACCATTCCAACCAACCTTTCCAACCAACCATTCCAACCATTCCAACCAACCATTCCAACCATTCCAACCAACCATTCCAACCAACCTTTCCAACCAACCTTTCCAACCATTCCAACCAACCATTCCAACCAACCATTCCAACCAACCTTTCCAACCAACCATTTCCAACCAACCTTTCCAACCAACCATTCCAACCATTCCAACCAACCATTCCAACCAACCTTTCCAACCAACCTTTCTAACCATTTCAACCATTTCAACCAACCATTCCAACCAACCATTCCAACCAACCATTCCAACCAGCCTTTCTAACCATTCCAACCATTTCAACCAACCTTTCCAACCAACCTTTCCTAACCATTCCAACCATTCCAACCAACCTTTCCAACCAACCTTTCCAACCAACCATTCCAACCAACCTTTCTAACCATTCCAACCAATTTCCAACCAACCTTTCCAACCAACCTTTCCAACCAACCATTCCAACCAACCTTTCTAACCATTCCAACCATTCCAACCAACCTTTCAACCAACCGTTCCAACCAACCTTTCCAACCAACCTTTCCAACCAACCTTTCTAACCTTTCCAACCATTCCAACCAACCATTCCAACCATTCCAACCTCTCCAACCAACCTTTCCAACCTTTCCAACCAACCTTCTAAAGACACGTCTTTTAATATGAACCGAACTTTTCAGCCACCTTCTAAATCTTACCGGTTTTTATAGACTTATACAAAATCTGAAAGATTTGAGGGATAAAAAAAGGTCTGTCGCTCCTCAACAGACAGGTGCTTTCCCCCCTCCTCAGTTGACCGGGAAACCCGAGTCAAAATTTTCGATCACAGAAATTTCTTTCAATTTTCTTTTTCTCACAAATGGACAATCAGCAAAATATTCATCTATCTGAAAAAGTGAATTTCTAATAAAATTCCTGATTTACAATCAATTTTAGGCATCAGCGAGTCGTTTACGGTCGATCTACGAGTTCGCGAAGAAATCGCTGAGTAATGTGGACGAATTCTCGAGGTAAACCTTCGAAAATTCGGCTTAAAAATATTTTAAAGAGGTTTTTTGAACTTTTTTGAAATTTTGATTTTTCAGGGTCGATCCTCGAGCCGTTTTCGTCAATAATGACTTGAATTTGAAGAGGATTGAGGTGATTGATGGATTTGTGTGACTTGAAGTCGATCGTGTATTTGATCGTCAATGTATTTGATCGTCAATGTAAACTAAAATGCAATTCAAGGCTTGCATCGAATCCCTTTTTTGCGATTTCACGAAAACTATTTTACCGAGCGTTCTGTTTTCTTTATCAGAACGCTGCTTTCGACTACGCTCTTTAATAGAAAGAGCGTAGTCGAAAACCCTAAAAAATACTTTGGAAGATCTACGGTCACTTTCAAAAAAAAGTTTCAGAATAAAACGAATAGATTTTAGTCGTTTGAAGTCTTTCAAGTCTTTCAAGCCTACAAGTTCAAGAAGTTTAACCAGTTACTTCTAGGAACAAGTAACTTCTAGAAATAAGTTGCTTCTTTCTAGTAACAAGCAACTTCTTCTAGTAACAAGTCACTTCTAGTAACAAGTAACTTCTAGTAACAAGCCACTTCTAGTAACAAGTCACTTCTAGTAACAGGTCACTTCTAGTAACAAGTCACTTCTAGTAACAGGTCACTTCTAGTAACAAGTCACTTCTAGTAACAAGTAACTTCTAGGAACAAGCCACTTCTAGGAACAAGTCACTTCTAGTAACAAGTAACTTCTAGGAACAAGTCACTTCTAGTAACAAGTAACTTCTAGGAACAAGTAACTTCTAGTAACAAGTAACTTCTAGGAACAAGTCACTTCTAGTAACAAGTAACTTCTAGTAACAAGCTACTTCTTTCTAGTAACAAGCAACTTCTTCTAGTAACAGGTCACTTCTAGAAACAAGTAACTTCTTCTAGTAACAAGTTACTTCTTCTAATAGGTTGATCCATAAGTCTTTTCGTTTTTTTCGTACTTCTGTTAAAAAGTAACAAATTCACCAATTAATCTATAGTTTGCTCTATAAAAAAGTGTTTTTTTGTTCAATTTGCATCTTTTAAATGAATTTCGGTTCACTTTCAAGCAAATTCGAGAGTGAAAAACGCGTTTTTCGTAAAAATCTATAAAAAAACTCTACGGAAAAATTGGCTGAATGAATTTCTCTGAAATTTTGGCGAAATATCAAACGTTTTTTTTTTCTCTATCTTTTATCTATTGACACGAAGATAGGTTTTCTTTAGCTAAGGTGTCTAAACCGCATCATCGAGTTAGCCCTTTTTGACTACCCGACTTCATACTCTCAAGAAAATCGAGGCATTAAAGATTTTTAAACCCGTTTTAATGTTATTTTGCAGAAAAATAATTGCTTTTTCTAATGAAATCAACCGTAGTTTAATTGGTGCATTTGTTGGCTTGAAACGGCAGACGAAAAGGAACAAAAAGACTTATGCATCAACCTAATAGTAACAATTAACTTCTTCTATTGGGTTGGGGACTATGACTCGACGGACAAAAGAAAGGCAAATTTATTGAACATAAAACCATGAATTCATTCCAAATAATTTCCATTATTATTGACGACTTCTGCCCATTTTACAGGCAATTTGCGGATTCCTCCTTCGTAGTAGGATTTTGGTTTGTGTGTGAGACAAGTGTGAGACTCAAAAATGGAGGACTGGAGATGTCCCAGTTTGAGCACTTTCTTCAAAAGAAACCCATTTTGGTGTCAATAGAAAAGTTGTAGAGAATCAAAAATGAGGCCTATAGCCAAATTTGCAAAAAGATACACTTAGTAGTTTCGCTTAAAATGCAAGTTTTGTGAAAATTCGTAAATTTCGCATTTCTTGAAAACCAGTGTTTGAATCGTTCTGAAAATTTGGATATAAGCTTGATTTTTGATCCTCTACAACTTTTCCATTGACACCAAAATGGGTTTCTTTTGAAGAAAGTGCTCAAACTGTCACATATGACATTTTGTCCGCCGAGTCATTGTCCCCAACCCAATAGTAACAAGTTACTTCTTTCTAGTAACAAGCAACTTCTTCTAGTAACAGGTTACTTCTAGAAACAAGTAACTTCTTTCTAGTAACAAGTAACTTCTTTCTAGTAACAAGTAACTTCTATTGGGTTGATGCATAATTATCCGGACTTCTTTTATAAATGATTTTATTTAACAAAAAATAACATAAATAGTTAGAAAAATATGTTTAATTGATTATTCTGGAGCATATTCACCGCCTACATCAATAACTGATTGCCATTTGCTTGGAAGACGATCGATTCCACGAGCGAAGAATAAACGATCTTTGGAGGCAATCCACGCTTTAACATCGTCTATCAAGTCATCCAAATCGTTGTAGATCTTATTTGTTTGCCAATTTTTGAGCGATCGATTGACGTGGTAGTCCGTTGGGGCTTCAGTAGGAGAATATGGCGGGTGTGGAAGAAGATCCCAGCCCTTACTAGCGATGGATTCGACGACATGGCGCTCAACGTGCGGACGTGCGTTATCGTGGTGAAAGACGATGTTGTTCTTTTTGCGCGGTCTTCGTGCCTGAATCGTGTGGGACCCATCCAGCCAATTTCCATACTTTGCCAAGCTTTTTGAGATGGCGCACGATCGTTGACTGGTCAACATTGAATTCATCTGCCAGCATTCTGGTTGTCAGGCTTTCGTCTTCTTCAACGGCTTCCAGAAGTGCCTTGTCATCGAATTCTGATGGCCGTCCTCTTCCTGGTTCATCATCAACACTTGTGTTACCGGACTTGAAACGATCGAACCATTCATAAACTGTTGCACGTCCAATTGTTCCTTGACCAAAAAGTTCTTTGAGATCGCGAAACGACTCTGCGGCAGACCATCCCTTTTCGAAGTGGTAGAGCATGATATGGCGAAGATGGATATGATTGTCGACACGCATTTTGTTCACTAAAGAATAACGAATATTTAAAAAAAAAGAAATAGACAAAAAGCTTTCAAAACAAAAAAGATACAAGCACGCAAAAAGAAGTCCGGATAATTATGCATCAACCCAATAGTAACAAGCCACTTCTAGTAACAAGTCTTTAATTTCCAGTGGTACGGCTTTGACTACGACTACACGTTGGCCGTTTACACCAGAGATCTGAACGAGTTGATTTACAATTTGGCGATCAAGAGATTGATAAAGGATTTTCATGTGGGTTTTTGTGAGATGCACTCTGCACTTTTGAGATGCATCGTTTGCACTCATTTGCACTTTATCTAATGCTTTAACTTCAGAATCACCTATAGAATTTTAGCAAATACTCAGTGCCAAGAAGGGTACTCAATTCGTTCCTCAATTCATTCCTCAATTCATTCATTTTCCAGTATCCAACGATTCTCCAAACGATTCCATACGATAAAGAATTCGCGATTCGAGGTCTTCACTATGACATTCAAAATTGTGTTCTTCTAAAAGTCGACGCTTTCTCGCAAATACAAAAAGGTTCATTTTACAATAATTTTGCAAAACAACTGTCTTCGCACTTAGATTTTCCTATTTACACAGATCACAACCTGCTTCCATATTTCTCTCTCTCTCTCTCTTACTATTGTCATCTAGTGATATTGTCATCCAGTGTTTCCTATCTTGATTGTTCCTGGTTCGAAGTTTTCGACTTGCTTGTGCTGGTGGTGGTTGTTCGACTTGCTTGTGTTCTAGCCATCCTTTCTCTGACCGTCGCTGCCACTCTTGTGCTCCACCTTGATTCTGGTCTTCCGATGGGCCTCTTCTCGTGGTAGCCACTATGATCCGTATCGTTCATCTGTCGTCTGTTCTTCTGGCTACGTGGCCGGCCCATCTGAGTCTTTTTCTCTCGATCACTTCCACTGGATCTCTGAGTCCCGAGAGGCGCATATTCTCTGATGGGCTTGGTCGAGCTGCGGCTTGGTCGAGCTGCGGCTTGGTCGAGCTGCGGCTTGGTCGAGCTGCGGCTTGGTCGAGCTGCGGCTTGGTCGAGCTGCGGCTTGGTCGAGCTGCGGCTTGGTCGAGCTGCGGCTTGGTCGAGCTGCGGCTTGGTCGAGCTGCGGCTTGGTCGAGCTGCGGCTTGGTCGAGCTGCGGCTTGGTCGAGCTGCGGCTTGGTCGAGCTGCGGCTTGGTCGAGCTGCGGCTTGGTCGAGCTGCGGCTTGGTCGAGCTGCGGCTTGGTCGAGCTGCGGCTTGGTCGAGCTGCGGCGGGGTCGAGCTGCGGCCCGGTCGAGCTGCGGCTTGGTCGAGCTGCGGCTTGGTCGAGCTGCGGCTTGGTCGAGCTGCGGCTTGGTCGAGCTGCGGCTTGGTCGAGCTGCGGCTTGGTCGAGCTGCGGCTTGGTCGAGCTGCGGCTTGGTCGAGCTGCGGCTTGGTCGAGCTGCGGCTTGGTCGAGCTGCGGCTTGGTCGAGCTGCGGCTTGGTCGAGCTGCGGCTTGGTCGAGCTGCGGCTTGGTCGAGCTGCGGCTTGGTCGAGCTGCGGCTTGGTCGAGCTGCGGCTTGGTCGAGCTGCGGCGAGTCGAGCTGCGGCTTGGTCGAGCTGCGGCTTGGTCGAGCTGCGGCTTGGTCGAGGCTGCGGCTTGGTCGAGCTGCGGCTTGGTCGAGCTGCGGCTTGGTCGAGCTGCGGCTTGGTCGAGCTGCGGCTTGGTCGAGCTGCGGCTTGGTCGAGCTGCGGCTTGGTCGAGCTGCGGCTTGGTCGAGCTGCGGCTTGGTCGAGCTGCGGCTTGGTCGAGCTGCGGCTTGGTCGAGCTGCGGCTTGGTCGAGCTGCGGCTTGGTCGAGCTGCGGCTTGGTCGAGCTGCGGCTTGGTCGAGCTGCTTCCTATTGTACCCGAGGAGGTTCCTTTCAAGGATGCGTTGTTCTCAGGGCTCTGTGGTCTGTGTCGTGGCCCAGATCTCTGTCCCGTGGCAGAGTGCCGAGAGGACGATGCTGTCGAAGAGTGCTGAAGTGTGAAGGTGTGCCCGAGTCCTCTGGTGATTCTTGAGTATCTTTGTGACTTCTTTGATGCTTTCTAATCCCAATTCTTTGACGCTTGCCGGCTTCTTTAATGCTTGCTGGCTAAAATTAAGTCACTAAACAATTTGAAAAAATAAATGCTAAAATCGTATTCTTAAGCTGAAAAACGGTAATTATGGTGTTTTTTTGGTACTTTTGGGTACTTTTTGGGTACTTTGTGGGAACTTTTTGGTACTTTTTGGTACTTTGTGGGTACTTTGTGGGTACTTTTGGTACTTTTGGGTACTTTTGGTACTTTTTGGTACTTTTTGTATTCTTTGGGTACTTTTTGGTACTTTTTGGTGTTCTTTGGGTACTTTTTGGTACTTTTTGGGTACTTTTTGGTACTTTTTGGTACTTTTTGGGTTCTTTTTAGTACTTTGTGGGTACTTTTGGTACTTTTTGGGTACTTTTTGGTACTTTTTGGTACTTTTTGGTACTTTTTGGTATTTTTTGGGTCCTTTTTGGTACTTCTTGGTACTTTTTGGTACTTTTTGGTACTTTGTGGGTACTTTTGGTACTTTTTGGTATTTTTTGGGTACTTTTTGGTACTTTTTGGGTACTTTTCGGTACTTTTTGGTACTTTTTGGTATTCTTTGGGTACTTTTTGGTACTTTTTAGTACTTTGTGGGTACTTTTGGTACTTTTTGGGTACTTTTTGGTACTTTTGGTACTTTTGGGTACTTTTTGGTATTCTTTGGGTACTTTTTGGTACTTTTTCGGTACTTTTTGGTACTTTTTGGTACTTTTTGGTATTCTTTGGTATTCTTTGGGTACTTTTTGGTACTTTTTGGTACTTTTTGGTACTTTTTTTCCAGTGAAATTGATATTTCCTAGTGAATTTGAATTTAAAAGTGATTGGAAAACCAATAAGTTCTTCTCTTATTCTTTATTTTCTACAAAATTCGCAAAATCCTCATTTCAGGCACTGCCTATCGTGGGAAACGAGCGTTAGATGATGCGGAGATTTATTCACTGTACGGTGGGATCACTCTACCCGATGATAGGGGACGAGGGCTACCACAATTGATGGATTTGTTTAGGTGAGTGGTTAGAAGTTTAGAAGAGTACTTAGTACTCTTCTAAACGTACTTAGTACTCTTCTAAACGTACTTAGTACTCTTCTAAACGTACTTAGTACTCTTCTAAACTTCTAATCTAGTAGCACTAGAATTCATTTACAGAATCATCTTACCGTAAATACTATAATAGTACCCCCTCGTACAGTCGCGTAGTCGCAAAAGTCGTGTAGTGTTTTTTAGTATTTCATTTCTTTTCAAAGCGCCCGTACTTTCAAAGCGCTCCGCTTTGGCATCAAAAAATAGCCCTGAATCTCAGCTATTTTTTGATACCAAAGCGCGCATTGTAGCATAAACCAGTGTCGAGAAAAACTCGTTCAAAGCTAGACTACGCAACACTCCGCACCGTCATTATGGGAGTGGGATACTATTAAAGTATTTACGGTAGGTGAATTCTAAATTCCCCCGGAATTTATCTAAGGGAATTCTAAATTCCTCTAGGAATTTTTCCCTAACATTCGCCGAGCTGGCAGCTATGCTCAAGGGCGCATTTTTCCAGGGCTTGTCTCATAGGAGGAGACTATAAATAGCTATAAATAGCTATAAATAGCTATAAATAGCTATAAATAGCTCTTTCTAGTTCTACAAACGACAATAAATAGAAAGTCGAAATGATGTGGGGTTTTTCTTTGATTTCTATCAAATCGTTTTCTTTCAGTTTACCCTTCTTCGGTCTCGTTTTGACAACAGTTCAATACTTTGACGATCACAAGATTCACTTTGACCCAAACAGTCTCTACCAAGATATAGCGGTTCGTGTTTTTTTGGAAAAATAACACTAAAACTTAATCACTCTTTCTCAAAAATCATTCTTGATCATTTTGGAAAGATGTATTTGTCATTTTGAGCTTAACAAAAGTAAACATTAACTTTCTGAAATGCCTGGATGGGCTCAAAAACACTTTGACGTCTGATCTGATCGTCTGAAACACTTTGATGTCTGATCTAATCGTCTGAAACACTTTGATGTCTGATCTAATCGTCTGAAACACTTTGATGTCTCATCTAATCGTCTGAAACACTTTGATGTCTGATCTAATCGTCTGAAACACTTTGATGTCTCATCTAATCGTCTGAAACACTTTGATGTCTAAGCTGATCGTCTGAAACACTTTGATGTCTAAGCTGATCGTCTGAAACACTTTGATGTCTAAGCTGATCGTCTGAAACACTTTGATGTCTGATCTAATCGTCTGAAACACTTTGATGTCTGATCTAATCGTCTGAAACACTTTGATGTCTGATCTAATCGTCTGAAACACTTTGATGTCTAAGCTGATCGTCTGAAACACTTTGATGTCTAAGCTGATAGTCTGAAACACTTTGATGTCTAAGCTGATCGTCTGAAACACTTTGATGTCTAAGCTGATAGTCTGAAACACTTTGATGTCTAAGCTGATCGTCTGAAACACTTTGATGTCTAAGCTGATAGTCTGAAACACTTTGATGTCTAAGCTGATCGTCTGAAACACTTTGATGTCTAAGCTGATAGTCTGAAACACTTTGATGTCTAAGCTGATCGTCTGAAACACTTTGATGTCTAAGCTGATAGTCTGAAACACTTTTGATGTCTAAGCTGATCGTCTGAAACACTTTGATGTCTAAGCTGATAGTCTGGAAACACTTTGATGTCTAAGCTGATCGTCTGAAACACTTTGATGTCTAAGCTGATAGTCTGAAACACTTTGATGTCTAAGCTGATCGTCTGAAACACTTTGATGTCTAAGCTGATAGTCTGAAACACTTTGATGTCTGATCTAATCGTCTGAAACACTTTGATGTCTAAGCTGATCGTCTGAAACACTTTGATGTCTAAGCTGATAGTCTGAAACACTTTGATGTCTAAGCTGATCGTCTGAAACACTTTGATGTCTAAGCTGATAGTCTGAAACACTTTGATGTCTAAGCTGATCGTCTGAAACACTTTGATGTCTAAGCTGATAGTCTGAAACACTTTGATGTCTAAGCTGATCGTCTGAAACACTTTGATGTCTAAGCTGATAGTCTGAAACACTTTGATGTCTGATCTAATCGTCTGAAACACTTTGATGTCTAAGCTGATCGTCTGAAACACTTTGATGTCTAAGCTGATAGTCTGAAACACTTTGATGTCTAAGCTGATCGTCTGAAACACTTTGATGTCTAAGCTGATAGTCTGAAACACTTTGATGTCTGATCTAATCGTCTGAAACACTTTGATGTCTAAGCTGATCGTCTGAAACACTTTGATGTCTAAGCTGATAGTCTGAAACACTTTGATGTCTAAGCTGATCGTCTGAAACACTTTGATGTCTGACCTGATCATCCAAAACACTTTGATGTCTGACCTGATCATCCAAAACACTTTGATGTTTGCTCTGATCATCTGAAACACTTTGATGTCTGATCTAATCGTCTGAAACACTTTGATGTCTAAGCTGATCGTCTAAAACACTTTGATGTCTGATCTGATTGTCTGAAACACTTTGATGTCTGAACTGATCATCCAAAACACTTTGACGTTTGCTCTGATCATCTGAAACACTTTGATGTCTCATCTAATCCTCTGAAAAACTTTGATTTCTGATTTTCAACAGTTTTCTAACGTTTTCTAACGTTTTCTAGTCAAAAGTTCAAAAAAACGTTTAAAATTTGACAGAAATTGGAGTGCTAAAGGAATTCGAGTGCTTTTTATTCAAAAAAAATGTAAACAGCTATTTTCTGGGCAGGCAGAGTGACTCTAAAAAAAGGTCAGTGCATTAAGAATCCAGAATCCCTTTAGGAATGCGTCAAACAGGTGCACGTCACCGGCGAAATGTACAAGAGTGTGCTGAGCAATATGGAGAAGTTTAGAAAAAAGGGTTTTCTTTCAAAAAAATTCGATTTGCAGATACGTTCACAAGAATCCGGGCCTCTCCGAGTACCTGCAACGGTTGCACAAAAGCGGCAAACATCTATTTATGATCACCAATAGTCCATTCACCTTTATGTATGATTTAAAGAGGAATTTAACTTTAGTAAGACTTTAATAGGGCCTTTGGTAAGGCTTTAGTAAGCCTTAGCAAGACTTAGTAAGCCTTAGTAAGGCTTTAGTAAGCCTTAGCAAGCCTTAGTAAGCCTTAGCAAGACTTTAGTAAGGCTTAGTTAAGCCTTAGTAAGCCTTAGTAAGACTTTAGTAAGGCTTAGTTAAGCCTTAGTAAGCCTTAGCAAGACTTTAGTAAGAAATAAATTTGAAATACCGTATTCTCTCTAATAGTAGTGCACCCTAAGCTTCGCCTAAATTCCTTGAAATCTCGAGAACCGCTTTAAATCGATGTGGGGTCGGAAAATGTCGCTGACGATGAGATCTAGTGGGAGATTAGAGTGTTGAGCTTCTGCGAAAGATTGGAAACCGTAAAATAGGCATCAACTCGGCTCGCCGGGGTATTAGAGAAAGCCGGTAAAATCAAGTCATCAATCAACCCAATCAATCAACCAAATCACTCATTCAGGAATGCCGGGATGACGTACATGTTGGGACCGGATTGGCGAGAGCTCTTCACTCATGTCGTCGTGCAGGCTCGGAAACCCGATTTCTTTCAGGTTTTTGGCAGGCTTTGGCTTTGACTAAAGATTTACAAATTCCACAGTTTCATCATAAAAACTACAGCATAATATCATATGCATAGCGTCAATGCATAAATCTGATAAACCTTTTTTGCGAAAACTCGATTTTTTTGAAACAAATCTATCGTTAACTATCGAAAAATGAAAACGTTGAAAATTCTAGAGCTAGAATTCTTTCTAGAACTTGCTAGAACTATTCTAGAACTAGAATTCTTCGAAAATTCGAAGTCAACTTTCAACTCTAGTTTTCAACTTTCAACTTTGAACTCTTTCCAGGGCAAAACCCCATTTCGTCTTTTCAACGAGACAACCGGCAATCTTCACTATGAAAAAGTTCAAGAGCTGGAGCCCGGAAAAGTCTATGCCGGGGTTTAATAGAAGCTTTTTCATTTAAAAAACAAATTTCAGGGAAACATTGGCGAATTCGCTTCAAAAGCGAGTCTAACCGGCAAAGGAGTTTTGTATTTCGGCGATCACATCTACACTGATTTGGCCGATCCAATGTTGAGGTTTGTTGGAGAGAGAGAGAGAGAGAAAGAGAGAGAGAGAAAGAGAGAGAGAGAAAATGACCTGACAAAATTGCTATTAGGTACATGCATAAGAAAAAAAATCCGGATTTCAACATTTTCATATTTCAACATTCAAATTCAACATTCAAATTCAACATTCAAATTCAACAAATTCAATTTCAAATTTCCAACGATAGAAACCTGATATTGATGAATGTTATAAACGATTTGAAAGTTGTAAATCTCCTCTACAAAATAAAACGTGTTTCAATTGATCGAAGCATTGAAGAAATTACGAGAGCGAAAGAGAAGAAAGCGAAGAAGAAAGCGAAGAAGAAAAGGAATCAAGGACAACAGATAGCGATAGGAGGAGGTGGACGGAGTGCGGGCAATGATGAGATGGCGGTGAGCACGAGAGGAGGCGGAGCAGTCCATACAACGAGCACATTCAAAGAGCAAAGAGGCGTCAGAGGGGGGAGAAGAGGACCGGGAGAAGATGAAACTGATAGTAATACGAGGCGGCGAGTAAGGACGAGGCGGCGAGTAAGGACGAGGCGGCGAGTAAGGACGAGGCGGCGAGTAAGGACGAGGCGGCGAGTAAGGACGAGGCGGCGAGTAAGGACGAGGCGGCGAGTAAGGACGAGGCGGCGAGTAAGGACGAGGCGGCGAGTAAGGACGAGGCGGCGAGTAAGGACGAGGCGGCGAGTAAGGACGAGGCGGCGAGTAAGGACGAGGCGGCGAGTAAGGACGAGGCGCTCCCATCGACTACCTCCAAATGGCGGCGACGTCAATCGGAACGCGACGTCAATTGGACTGCGACGTCAATTGAAACTTATTCTCTTTGTTAATCTGAAAAAAAAAACAAATGATTTGAAAATAAAAAAGAAACGACGACGCGGCGCTCCCATCGACTACCTCCAAATGGCGGCGACGTCAATCGGAACGCGACGTCAATCGGAACGCGACGTCAATCGGAACGCGACGTCAATCGGAACGCGACGTCAATCGGAACGCGACGTCAATCGGAACGCGACGTCAATCGGAACGCGACGTCAATCGGAACGCGACGTCAATCGGAACGCGACGTCAATCGGAACGCGACGTCAATCGGAACGCGACGTCAATCGGAACGCGACGTCAATCGGAACGCGACGTCAATCGAAACTTATTCTCTTTGTTAATCTGAAAAAAAAACAAATGATTTGAAAATAAAAAAGAAACGACGACGCGGCGCTCCCATCGACTACCTCCAAATGGCGGCGACGTCAATTGGACTGCGACGTCAATCGGAACTTCTTCTCTTTGTTCTTTGTTCTCTTATTCAATTAAAATTGGCTATAAATAAGATAAATAAGAGTAAATTTTTACAAAGATTGGCTTCAAATTGGAAAAATTTGAGAAGTTTTGCTTAAATGAATGTTTTTTTCATTTTAGACTAGGCTGGCATACGGCAGCAATTGTGCCCGAGTTGGCCCGAGAGATCCGTGCACAAAATACCGATGAGTACAGGTGAGGCTTTGAACTGTATTTGGGTCAAAAGCTAGAATTGAAAAGGGTAAAACGAATACTTTTACAGAAAATTCTAAAACTTTTGCGTTAAATGCGCTGAAATTGAGGTATTCAGCCGAAAAAGAGTTCGTCATTCAGTCAAATTCGCTGAATGCCCTAATCTAGACTGAATACCGTAATCCAGCTCATCTTAACTGAAAATCCTAATCTAGACTGAATACCGTAATCCAGCCAACCCTAATCTAGACACCCATGTGCGTTTGTGCAGAAAGTTTTCATGTTTTCATGTTTTTATTTGCAGAAAGAGCGCGTTTATGCAGAATTTAAGCAGAATTTAAGCAGAATTTAGGCACTTTTTAAGCATTTTTGAAGCATTTTGATAAATTTTATTCAATTCAGACGCTCAATTCAATGGCTTGAAACGTTGACAAATCTCATCGCGAACTTTCAAGTGGACGGTCGGAGAAATGCCGAGTGCGGGCAGATCATCAATGAATGGGCCGAAGAGAGAAGGAAACTGCGGTCGGTTTTGAATTGAAAAAGAGTATTGTCCGATTCGATCACTGCACAGTTGTGTACATCCGATTTTCTGCACTATAGTGCCCGGGAAGGGACTAGTGCCCCCTGGAGGGACTAGTGCCCCGGGAGGAACTAGTGCCCCCTGGAGGGAACAGTGCCCCGGAAGGGACTATAGTGCCCCTGGAGGGACTATAGTGCCCCGGAAGGGACTATAGTGCCCCGGAAGGGACTATAGTGCCCCCTGGAGGGACTATAGTGCCCCGGAAGGGACTATAGTGCCCCCTGGAGGGACTATAGTGCCCCAGGAGGAACTAGTGCCCCCTGGAGGGGCTAGTGCCCCGGAAGGGACTATAGTGCCCCTGGAGGGACTATAGTGCCCCGGAAGGGACTATAGTGCCCCCTGGAGGGACTATAGTGCCCCCTGGAGGGACTATAGTGCCCCCTGGAGGGACTATAGTGCCCCCTGGAGGGACTATAGTGCCCCCTGGAGGGACTATAGTGCCCCCTGGAGGGACTATAGTGCCCCAGGAGGAACTAGTGCCCCCGGGAGGGACTAGTGCCCCCGGGAGGGACTAGTGCCCCCGGGAGGGACTAGTGCCCCCGGGAGGGACTAGTGCCCCCGGGAGGGACTATAGTGAGGTTGGGAGCACTATAGTTTTTCTAAAACCACTTTTTCTGGGGTATTTTTTTGCGTAGATCACGAATTTCATAGTGAGAGCTTGGGAAAATGCGTTTTAAACGGACTTTCGGTGACTTAGACTGACTTTTAGAGGCCTGACGTTCGTTCGGCTTGACGTTCATAGTGTATTTCACTTTAAGAAGAAGAAGGGCTCAAAAAGGAACTTAATAAGCCTTTTCCTATCCAAAAAGACCTTTTCTGGAGTTAATTTAGAGTTCCAAGTGCAATGCTAATTAAATTTGAGTAGAAAAGTTGAAAATTTCGAGAAATTTCGCCTTTCTAGAAATTTGTCCATCCAGAAACATCCATTTGGTCTCTCAGTTTGACTTTTTAAGATCTACGAGCTTTTTTAAGAGCTTTTTTCATGTTCTGGACACTCAATTAAGCCAAAAGAAAGTGTTCTCGAATGTTCAGAAAAGTAAAATCCTCCGATGCCTTAGATGTGCTCTAGACAAAGACTTTAGACAAGCCCGGAGTGGAGTCCAGTGTAGTGGCGGCAACTTCCAGTCACCGAAAGTCGGCCTAAAACGCATTTTCTCAAGCGCTCACTATGAAATTCGTGATCTACGCAAAAAAGTATCCCAGAAAAAGTGGTTTTAGAAAAAGTATAGTTTAGAAAAACTTTTTAGAAAACGTTTTAAAAGTTTTGTAAACTGCGATCGCCTTGAGGCCCCGAATCTTTGCTAAACGAAACTCTTTTTCAAATCAAATTGATGTTTCGTACGTTCTGGATGTCACATAATATTTTGAGCTAGATTTTGAGCTAGATTTCGAGCATAATAGATGGGCTCTCTTTAGACAAGCCTGGAGTGGACTCCAATATAGTGGCGGCAACTTCTGGTCACCGAAAGTCGGCCTAAAACGCATTTTCTCAAGCGCTCACTATGAAATTCGTGATCTACGCAAAAAAGTATCCCAGAAAAAGTAATTTTGAGGGAAATCTAATGGCCTAATGAAGGGGGACTTCAATCCCAACAAGTCAAAGTTTGATTCAAAGTTTGATTCAAACTTTGAGTCAAAGCTTTTCTTTAACTTTTTCATTCTAGAGAAAACGTGAAAGCGATCTTCAATCCACGATTTGGTTCCATGTTCCGAACTTATCACAATATGACGTTTTTCTCCGAGGAGATTGATGAGGTTTGGTTTGGAATTTACTAGAGAGAAACGGGGAAAGACAGATTTGGCCAAATGAGATAAGACAAAAATCATTTGACGCAGAATTTCTGATTCTGAATCTGACGCTGTTTCCGACGCTGATTCCGATGCTGATTCCGAATCTGTTTCCTACGCTGATTCCGATGCTAATTCCGAATCTGTTTCCGACGCTGATTCCGATGCTAATTCCGAATCTGTTTCCGACGCTGATTCCGATGCTAATTCCGAATCTGTTTTCTGTTTTGGTTTTCTTTAAAAAGATGCTTTTCTTTAAAAGATATACGTGTTTTAAGTTTTGGAAATGAAAATTCGAAAATTTGAAGCCGGGATGCTTTCATAAAGCTAGGGATACTTTTATAAAGGTTTTCTCATGGATCTTAAACGTGACTTGATGAAAATAGTGGCTAAAACGCTTACACATGAAACTAGCTCTCAATTTTTAGCTAAACTTTTCTTTTGTATTGCTCAAATTGGCATTCTAAAACTCAAAACTAGTATAATTTTTTATAGAAAGCCATTTGGTAAAAAAAAAAGGAAAGCAGATTCGGAAACAGTGTGAAATTCTGCGTCGAATGATCGATGGTTGATCTCTTTAGCTACATTCTACTGTTGCCTTTCACTTGTTAAACTTTTCTTTTAGACTCTCCGATTTCTACACTTCTCGATTGCCGAATTTGCTGAAATATGATGTGGATCACTCATTTTTCCCACGAAGAAATGTGAGTGAAGGGAGAGCTGAAAGGAGAGCTGAAGGGAGAGCTGAAAGGGGAGCTGAAAGGGGAGCTGAAGGGAGAGCTGAAAGGGGAGCTGAAAGGGGAGCTGAAGGGAGAGCTGAAAGGGGAGCTGAAAGGGGAGCTGAAGGGAGAGCTGAAAGGGGAGCTGAAAGGGGAGCTGAAGGGAGAGCTGAAAGGGGAGCTGAAAGGGGAGCTGAAGGGAGAGCTGAAAGGGGAGCTGAAAGGGGAGCTGAAGGGAGAGCTGAAAGGGGAGCTGAAAGGGGAGCTGAAGGGAGAGCTGAAAGGGGAGCTGAAAGGGGAGCTGAAGGGAGAGCTGAAAGGGGAGCTGAAAGGGGAGCTGAAGGGAGAGCTGAAAGGGGAGCTGAAAGGGAGCTGAAGGGAGAGCTGAAAGGGGAGCTGAAAGGGGAGCTGAAGGGAGAGCTGAAAGGGGAGCTGAAAGGGGAGCTGAAGGGAGAGCTGAAAGGGGAGCTGAAAGGGGAGCTGAAGGGAGAGCTGAAAGGGGAGCTGAAAGGGGAGCTGAAGGGAGAGCTGAAAGGGGAGCTGAAAGGGGAGCTGAAGGGAGAGCTGAAAGGGGAGCTGAAAGGGGAGCTGAAGGGAGAGCTGAAAGGGGAGCTGAAAGGGGAGCTGAAGGGAGAGCTGAAAGGGGAGCTGAAAGGGGAGCTGAAGGGAGAGCTGAAAGGGGAGCTGAAAGGGGAGCTGAAGGGAGAGCTGAAAGGGGAGCTGAAAGGGGAGCTGAAGGGAGAGCTGAAAGGGGAGCTGAAGGGAGAGCTGAAAGGGGAGCTGAAAGGGGAGCTGAAGGGAGAGCTGAAAGGGGAGCTGAAGGGAGAGCTGAAAGGGGAGCTGAAAGGGGAGCTGAAGGGAGAGCTGAAAGGGGAGCTGAAAGGGGAGCTGAAGGGAGAGCTGAAAGGGGAGCTGAAGGGAGAGCTGAAAGGGGAGCTGAAAGGAGAGGTGGAAGGAGAGCTGGAAGGAGAGCTGAAGGAAGAGCTGAAAGGAGAGCTGAAGGAAGAGCTGAAAGGGGAGCTGAAGGAAGAGCTGAAAGGGGAGCTGAAAGGGGAGCTGAAAGGGAAGCTGGAAGGAGAGCTGAAGGGAGAGCTGAAAGGAGAGCTGAAAGGGGAGCTGAAAGGAAGAAACACTCGCTTTCTGGCATGCCAAGCACTTTCGGTTGTATGCCAGAAAGCGAGTGTTGGTTTGTTTCTTTGTTTCCTTGTTTGTGAGCGTAAAACATTACGTTTGTGAGCGCAGAACATTACGAAATCTCTAGAATTATCTCTAGAATGATCTCTAGAATTATCTCTAGAATTATCTCTAGAATGATCTCTAGAATTATCTCTAGAATTATCTCTAGAGTGATCTCTAGAATTATCTCTAGAATTACCTCTAGAATGATCTCTAGAATGATCTCTAGAATTTCCTCTAGAATTTCCTCTAGAATTACCTCTAGAATCTGTTTTCTCTCTCTAGAAACACAGAGAAAAAGAAAATTAGGTGGAAATCTTGAAAGTTTTGTGGGAAAGTTGTTTGAAAGTTGAAAATCTATGCTTTAAAACTTTTCCGAGCATTGAAATTCAGTTAAAATTGAAATCTCAGTTGAAATTGAAATTTCAGGCTCTCCCACACGAAAGCCTAAACGCCGTGCCAACCGTTTCCGAGAACATGATCGATGAAATCAATCGGAAACACTCAAGTCAAGTTGGATGAAGTGAAATTTCTTATTTCAAGAAATCTATTTCTTATAGATCTTCTTTCAAGAAATCTTGCCATAGAACTTGTTTTTTTGAGAATTTTTTGAGATTTTTTTTATAATTTTTGTAAATGCACTGCCATTTTTGGTATTTGTATTATTTAATCACCTTTAATCACTTTTTCCGCTTATTGCCAGCCGATTATCTGCTTCATTTTCGGCTAGCTGATTCTTAGCTAGCTAGCTGACTATCTGGCTATCTGGCTAGCTGGCTATCTGGCTAGCTGGCTATCTGGCTAGCTGGCTATCTGGCTAGCTGGCTATCTGGCTATCTGGCTAGCTGGCTATCTGGCTAGCTGGCTATCTGGCTAGCTGGCTATCTGGCTAGCTGGCTATCTGGCTAGCTGGCTATCTGGCTAGCTGGCTATCTGGCTATCTGGCTAGCTGGCTATCTGGCTAGCTGGCTATCTGGCTATCTGGCTAGCTAGCTAGCTAGCTGGCGAGCTGACTAGCTTGAATGAAAATGCATAATCGTCTGTGACATATAGTTTAGATTTAAAATTTTTCCTCTCAATTTTACATCCTACAATTTTTCCCGTATTCTCTTTGTAGGTAATGAATAAAATTATAAATAACTACCAAAAAAATCTATCAGAAAGCAAGAGCAAATGTTGCAAAATAAGATCATGAGATTACAATTCCTGTAAATGAAATAGTTCCCTGGAACTTCCTGAAAGTTTCCTGAAAGTTTCCTGAAAGTTTCCTGAAACTTCCTGAAGTTTCCTGAAACTTCCTGAAGTTTCCTGAAAGTTTCCTGAAACTTCCTGAAACCTTCAGGTAACCGGCTCGAATTCAACCGTAATATTTTTCTGTGTGTTTATCAATCCAATAGCAAAACGAAAAAGCCACGTTTTTCATAGTTCACGACAGTTTCACTTATTGTTCCATTTCTTAGCAAAACAGAGAAAAGAATGATTTTAACAGAACAGAACGATTTTATGTCTCTTTATTGCCAAAGTTCCTTTCATGCTTTCGGCTTCGGCTTTAGCTATATCGTGGGTGTACAAAAAGGATGAAACTGAACCCGTATGCTACGTTCGAGGAATTTATCTAAGGGAACTTATCTAGGGAATTCATCTAAGGGAATTCAAAATTTCCCCGGAGAATTTTCCCTGACATTCCCCGAGCTGGCAGTTAGGCTCGGGGAATTTATCTAGGGGAATTTATCTAGGGGAATTTATCTAGGGGAATTCTAACTTTCCCCGAGGAATTTTCCCCTGACATTCCCTGGCAGCTACGCTCAAGGTAAGCAAAAAGTGAAATGGGGCTCATAACATAATACGATGTCGTTGTTGCGGAAAAATGCGTTTAAAGTTAAACTATGCGACGATCCGATCGTTATTATAGCGTGGGGGCACATCGGCGCGAAAATGCGTTTTCTATAGGATTTTTCTGGGAGTACCTTTTAGATGCGCAAAATTGTGCTGATTCCGAATCTGAAGGAATTTTCCAAATCCCTCTGACAGAAATTTTTAAATTGAGTTTTAGCAGTTTTTTGGTCGTTTTGTATGGGAAATTTTGTGGTACCCTGCAGTTTGGAGCTCGTAACTCGACAACGAGGGTCTAGAACCAAAACGAAGGAGTAGGTCGTATTCTAGAGATTCTTACGAACATTTTGATGCAAAAATCATAAAATTTGCTCAACTCTACAAAAAGTTATAACATCTTTAAAGAAATTTTGCAAAATACACTAAAAACATCAGGGGAAACCGTGGCCGAGTGGTCTAAGGCGCGCGACGTCAATCCAGCGCAAAAGTACGGGGTTGTTGGTTCGACTCTCCCGCGCACTTCAGTCATTATTTTGCATATTCCTTAATTGTTTTGAGTGAATACGATACATAGCTACATTGTTCTTTTGAACAAAACAATTGTGCAATAGAGAATTTTTTAAATTTTCTCATTTCTTCTTTAAAAAATGTTATAACTTTTTGTAGAGTTGAGCAAATTTTATGATTTTTGCATCAAAATATTCGTAAGAATCTCTAGAATAAGACCTACTCCTTCGTTTTTGGTTCTAGACCCTCGTTGTCGAGTTACGAGCTCCAAACTGCAGGGTACCACAAAATTTCCCATACAAAATGACCAAAAAACTGCTAAAACTCAATTTAAAAATTTCTGTCAGAGGGATTTGGAAAAATTCCTTCAGATTCGGGAATCAGCACAATTTTCCGCATCTAAAAAAAGGTACTCCCAGAAAATCCTATAGAAAACGCATTTTTTCCTTATTTCGCGCCGATGTGGGGCCCCCCCCACATCGGCGCGAAATAAGGCAAAAAAAATCGTTTTCTATAGGATTTTTACGTTTGAATAGCCATTTGACGCAGAAAAATGTGCTGAATTCAATGGTGGAAAAATTATCAAAATCCGTCTGGTAGATTTTTTTAAAATCGCATTTTATCAAAAAATCGGTCATTTTACACAGAAACGGCCAAACTCACCTGCATTTGGCCCTCCACTACTCGATGATAACAAAAAATTAGGAAATGCCAGGGAGTTGACTTTGTCAAGATGTTGTCTGCGGCCATTTTGAGACCAAAATCGTATTAATTGGTCAACTCAGAAAAAAGTTATAACATTTTGAAGACAAAAATGACGTTTGACGACTTTCTGCGCGCTAAAACGTGGATAATACCGTAACCCTTCCCATGGCGAAAAAAAAAACTACTTAAAGAGCGCTTGCAAAAGATTTTTTTTCAGTTCATTTTTCGGGAGTAGAACAATGCGAGCTTTTTTTGCGGCACCCGGACATTTGCGCACCTTGCTGGAAAAGGCCTTAGGAAAAGTCGTAGAGCTTCAAAAACGTTTTCATAGAAGGAAATCGTATGGCGGATTCAGAATTTTGACAAATCAGACCTCGCTGACACGTCAAATTTGAGCTAAAAGGCAAAAACTACGCAACTTAACGCTTTTCCGCAGTTTTTGCCTTTTAGTCCAAATTTGACGTGTCAGCGAGGTCTGATTTGTCAAAATTCTGAATCTACGCATACGATTTCCTTCTATGAAAACGTTTTTGAAGCTCTACGACTTTTCCTAAGGCCTTTTCCAGCAAAAAAAAGGTGCGCAAATGTCCGGGTGCGCAAAAAAGGTCGCATTTGTCCCACCCCCGTTGTTGATAATAATTCCTGTGTTTCGAAATTAATGAACAAGAATAGTCGTTGTTAAAAGTTTCGTTTAAAAGAATAAAGATATCTTTATCGAAAGCTATCTTTATTCGTTATTCTTTATCAAATTCGAGGCTTAATTGGAAGGAAATTAGTTTGAATGTATCAGTGAGCATTTTTATCAAAAGCTAACTATCCCAGTGTTTTCATTCGAATAACATTTTGGTTTCGAATGCTATTTTACTTGTTTTTCTTGCCGTTTCTCTTTTCTCTTGCGTTTCTTGCCGTTTTTCTCTTTGTTCAACTCTATTTAACACTCAAATTACAGGAACTGTGGTCGCTGCTGAGAAGAGCGCAATGGGCGGCGGGCCAACAAAAAATTGACCCGCCTAGAAGGTAAGAGGGGAATTTTTGATGGCTTTTTGAAAATTTATAAACATTCGTTTGAAATGATTAAGTTTAAAAGTTTTTACTTTAAAGACAAACGTTTAGAATTCTTAAATCTATTCAAAAACATTTTATAGCTTGATAGTTAGATTTGGTTTATTTTTGATTTAAAAGTAAACATTCGTTTGAAATGAGGTTTAAAAGTTTTTTACTTTAAAGACAAATGTTTAGATTCCTTAAATCTATCTCAAAACATTTTACAGCTTGATAGTTAGATTTGGTTCATTGTTGTTAACGGGGGTGGGACAAATGCGGCCTTTTTTGCGCACCTGACATTTGCGCATCTTTTTTTTTGCTGGAAAGGCCTTAGGAAGGTCGTAGAGCTTCAAAATGTTTCATACTAAGGAATCGTATGCGTAGATTCCGAATTCTCGACAAATCAAAGCAAATGAGACCTCGCTGACAGTTAAATTTGAGCTAAAAGGCAAAACTACGCAACTTAACGGTTTTCCGCAGTTTTTGCCTTTTAGTCCAAATTTGACGTGTCAGCGAGGTGTGATTTGTCGAAATTCGAATCTACGCATACGATTCCCTTTATATGGAAATATTTTCGAAGCTCTACGCCCTTGCCTAAGGCCTTTGCCAGCAAAAAAAAGGTGCGCAAATGTCCAGGTGCGCAAAAAAAGGTCGCATTTGTCCCACCCCCGTTGTTAACTTAACAATAAACATTTACTTAATGATGAATAATATTTTTATTTAGAAGGATGGAGCTGGTGGACGCGATCGAGATTCCGCGCGTCGGCAACGTCTTCCTTCGACAGGGACCGCGACGAGAACAACGGGGATCGCTGATTTTGATGGGTGAGTGAGAAATAAAGCTGTAAAATGGTCTAAAAGCCCTGGTTGGAGTTTTGTTAGGGTGAGACTGTAAAAGTTAGACACTTTTCAGTATAAAAGTTTAGACTTGTGTTGAGCCTAGAGATGCTTAACGGTAAATAACCATTTAGAACCTATCAAAAAATTATTGAAAGCTGATCAACCTTATAACATTAATCTATCATGCAAGAGTTTGTTTAAAAGTTTGAAAGCTTGAAGCTTGTAAACTTGAAACTTTTATTTACAAGTACATATACATTAGACTTGCTTAACGAGACAGATCAGAAAATCGGATTGCACAACTCCAGGCGCTTGCTCTAGCCTCCAGAGTATCGGATTCCAATGAACTTTTTTTTTATTTAAAAGCCAAGATTTTAATCTATCTAATCATACTCATCACTTATATTTTTCTTTTGAAAAAGTGGGTCGAAAACTTTATCGAGACTTGCCGAGACAATTCCTCGTTATCTCGTTAAGTCTCATGGCTTTTGACCCACTTTTTCCCAAGAAAAATATAAGTGATGAGTATCATTAGATAGCTTAAAATCTTGACTTTTAAATATTAAAAAAATTCATTGGAATTCGATACTCTGGAGGCTAGATTTAAGCGCCTGGAGTTGCACAACCCATTTGACTCGTTGATTCTCGTTAAGCAAGTCTAATATACGTTTTAAAACAGGTACTTTAACGTCAGCTAGTAGAAGAATCAAGAGTCTAAATTTTCAAGGAAATATATGATGAAATATTTGGTCACGACGTTTTAAAAAATTTCTATCAATTACCGTTAATTATCGTTAAGAAAAGACTTTTTTTTGGACAAAATTATCGAAATCTGTTTACCCGTTGAAGTTAGATTATTGATGTAGGGTCGGAAACAAAAGCTTGAATCAAGAGCTATTGAGGGAACCAGGCGAAAGTTCTTTGAAATGTTACAATTTTCGTTAATGTTGGAAACGCCGTCGCTAAGATCGATTTACCGTTAAGCATCTCTAGTTTAGCACCGATTTACCAGCTCCATTTCACCTTGAGAATCAATCAACAATGTAGGAAATTGGATTAAGATATAAAATAAACTTTCGATTCAAATTGAAAACCTTTTTTCATTCAGGCCATCACATGATCTTCGCTCCACAAGCCGATTCATCAAACGATCCAAACAACACGGCGAATAAGGAGGAGTTCTGTGTGAGTTTTAGATTAGAAGTGCTACTATTAATTTGTACAACTTTAGATTCTTCATCGAATGATCGATCGCGTTGTCAGCGAGCCCCGATCGCGTGATCCAAACTCGAAAGGAGGGATCTTGACGCTAAAGTGCAAGAATTTTATGATGTAAGTTTTATGCTCTAGTTTGAGAAAATAACTTTTGACTTTTTTTAGTTGCGTCTTCGAGGTACTCGAGCTGGACGAGTGTATGGCTGCGGCGAGAACAATCGAAACGTTGAGCAATTTGAGTGAGTTTAAGCAAGTTGAGCTAAATTTTAAGGGAATTTGCATGAAATTGAGTGCTAAAAGAACCAGAAATAGTTTGCTATAGTCGTTGAGCCTTTTGGGGTTAAAGATATAATCAAACAACTGCATCTATTCAACTTTTTCATTTAGACGGTTTCTCTCTCGACTACCCATTCTTCTATCGATGCCCGTTTACGATTCTCGACGATGGATGGAGGCACTTGATGTTGAAAGTGAATTCGCGAGGGTTTCCATGAATGCACCCGAAATGTTTCGTGTCTCGGAGGTGAATAAGGATTTCAAGGTGAGTGAGGTCGATTAAGAAATAAAATCAGGCTAAATTTTAAATGTTTCAAACAAACATTCAAGGATTATACAGAGTTGAGCAAAATTACCCGGAAAACTTTTTGGAAAAGTAGTTATCACACGCTTAATTGATTTCAAAGTGTCAAGCGTTATGTAGAGAATTGTAGCCCTTAATCTTGGCTACATTTATCTACTAAAAACTTGCCAATCGGATGTATATAGCTCATTTGACAAGCGCTTGAATGAGCACTAGTCGACCAATATCCATCACGCTGCCTTTTTTGACGATTTTCCACATAAAATTTTTATCTAAGAAGGGCTTTATCTAGTAAACTTTGTGTGCATTTTGTTCAAAAGATTATTTCTAACAATAACAGCTAATATAACGAGATACTCATGTGCAAAATATCAAAAAATGATCAAATTTCACCTTTTTGCCTGCGTTTTCAAAGAAGCTAGCTTGATTTTGGTTATATCTGACTAGCCTAGACAGTTGAAAGTTATCTTCAATATTATTAATGATGCTAAATGATATTTTTGCATAAAATAAGTATTGACAAATCTTTCGGGCAATTTTTTATGTAGAAAATCGTCAAAAAAGGCAGCGCGAAGGATATTGGTCGATTAGTGTTCATTCAAGCGCTTGTCAAATGAGCTATATACTTCCGATTGGCATGTTTTTAGTAGATAAATGTAGCCAAGATTAAGGGCTACAATTCTCTATACAACACTTGAGATTTTGAAATCAATTAAGCGTGTGATAACTACCTTTCCAAAAAGTTGTCCGGATAATTTTGCTCAACCTAAATTAACTAAAATCAAATCACAGGGATTCACATCAACTGATTCGTTAATTCTGTTAATTAAATATTAGTAATTGATTCAAATAGTGTCATTTCCATATTGTAGCTTTCAACAAATTACTCATTCAGGTTTGTGCATCTTATCCGGAGAAGGTGATCGTTCCGCGAGGGATTGGCGACGACTATCTGAGGATTTCGGCCACATTTCGTGATGGAGGACGTTTCCCGGTGTTGGCCTACTTTCACAGGCATACAAAGGTTTGTTTTGGTCATGAAAAAGTTGAAGCTTTAGTTTACAAAAAGCTCGGTATTTGTTTTAACGAATTTGATTTAGTCACCGATCTTCCGATGCAGTCAGCCGCTAATTGGACCAACAAACAGACGGTGTAAGGTAAGCTTAATATTATTAATATTATTAAGCTTACCAACACAAGCTTATAATGTTTAGAGTTGGATTCTGTTTATTCAATTATTAGCTGCTTATTAGCTTATTCAATTACCAATTTTAGGAAGATGAGACGATTCTGAATGCTCTTCTTTCAAATGCACGAGGGATTATCATCGACACAAGAAGTAAAGTGAATGCACAATCGGCTAAAGCTAAAGGTGAGTCTAGAAAAATCATTGTTTAAAGAGTATAAGATCTTTAAGTTGAATAAGCTAATATTTGAGCTGATCTTTAAGCTCTTTAAGCTCTTTAAGCTGAATTGTTGGATCCGGTTTAATCATTTTTTTACAGGAGGTGGCGCCGAGACGCAACAATGCTATTCGCAATGGCGTTACGTCACTTGTGGAACACCGAGGATCAAGGATTTGCACGATTCGCTTGCGAAAATGGTTGATGGTGGGTGATATGAAGATTTTCTACAACAAACTTAACTTAAAGACTGCACACAGATCCCTGGCACATTAAATACACGTCATTTTAGTCTCGATCGACAAGTCAGTTTCATCGGATCGTTGGCTTTCCCGTCTCGCCTCATCATCATGGCTTTCTTCAATCGCCGATTATCTAAACGCGGCCGCGAATGTGGCTCAATGCGTTGCATGTGAAGGTACCCAAGGTGCGTTGTGGAGAAACAAGTGATTCGAGGCTTTTTTTTATGATTTAAAATTTATTTGATTTCTTTTCACACGCCTGTTTTAGCATTTTGATTTTATTTGGAGAAGACACCCTGGCTGAAAATTGTTATGCCTGCGTTGATTGAGTTGATAGTACTTTTTTAGTTTTTATCTCACCAAACCTTTGAATTCTGTAGGGAAATTCGCATACAGCTTTCTTTAGCTTTTGCAAAAATGTTTGATGTTTGGTAAGAAACATGAAAAGTACTATGTTTATATTAAGTTAACAATTTTGGTCGCTTGATTTATTTATATAGATTTATTTTTATCTTTTAGAAGTCCCAGTCGTTGTTCATGGTGGTGAGGGTGTTGATTCGACGATTCTCGTCACTTCATTGGCGCAAATGATTCTTGATCCAGACGCGAGAACGATTCGAGGGTGAGTTTCATGATATAAATGAAACTCATGATATCGAGAAGTTAGTACATTGAATATTCTGAAATCAGACCCATTTTTGATAGTGTTATGTTAAATCATCCTTACTCTGATAGAAATATTCACTTTTATATGAAAGTTTATGGATATTCAGCCAATATTATACTTTCAGAGTGTATACAACTTCGGGTTGAATATCTTTTAATTTTGTGGGAAAATTCAAACAAAGCTGTGAAAGCTACGAAGCCCGCCCCTTTTTCTGTGTAGATTTTTTGTGGCTGCCCCTTTTGTTTGAGATTCCCGCGAAACTAGAAGATATTCCAGCTGAGTGGGCAAGGGGGATTACTGAAGGTATAGCAAATATAATGTAATAACATTAAACCTTTAAGGTATTGGGGGTGGCTGCTTTGCGCCAATTTTTGTAGCGCAACTCGTCATAGCTTTTTTCTAAGTGGGTAAATTTTTATCACTTTGGTGTCATTCTGTAACATAGTTGAGATCACAAAATGACACCAAAATCATAAAAATTAGCCCACTAAGAAGAAAGTTATGGCAAAATGTATCCCACAGTGATCCAGTTGCAAAAAAAATTTGTCGCAGAGTAGTCACCCCAAAATATTAAGCTATGATATTTGAAAAACCTTTCCTTTTAGATTTCAATCTCTGATCCAGGGGCAATGGATATGAGAAGTGTCTCCGTTTAGTTTACGCAATGCACGTTCGGCATTTGCTGAGGGAACGATCACTGGACCCTACGAGGCCGCCTGTCTTCTAGGCTTTTTCTCGATTCTGTTTGGCAGGTGAGGGCTTAGAATCAAATTTTCATTAGGACTTTAGTCTATTCCGTTGTTTAACTGGGAAAAGTTAGTTAGAGCTTATGATGAATAAGAGGTTTACTACTGAAAGCTTGATTGAAAAACTCACCACATTGACAATATTTTCTTTTAGTTAACGCAACAATTCCAACATTCGTTCGAATTCACCGAGGGCTTTCTTCTGGATCTCTTCGAACACTCCTACGCATCGGAATTTTGCTCATTTTTGGGCAACAATGAAATGGTAAGCCGCTTAAGATAAAAAGCAACAATATTTTATGTTTAGGGAGAAACAAAAACATCAAATTACCGACACTTTACGGTCTCGTTGTGGTCCTATGTGAATAATCCGGAGATTCTCAAATCGTACGTGAACGTCCTTTACGAGCCGAATGAAAGTGTCACATGGCCGAGCGTGGCACCGCAAAGCATTGTAAGTTTTTTTGTTTGCTTTAAAAAATATTTAGACAAAAAGAAATTTTAATTCAATGACACGTTATGAATCCTGTCTGAAACATGCTAAGTAGTCATTTTTATGCAAAATTAAAGAACCTATTATGAATTTAGTGTTTTATTTGCGGTCTAGTTTCGAAGGATTTTCTTCTTGAGCAAGTATGGACGTCTCTTCCTACGATAGCAACGCGATTGGCCTGCCCAGGTAAATGCGATTCCCGTGAAACGGCGTCGAATGGAGTTGAAGGAGAGAAAATTGGCGGGCAAGGCCTTATCGTTGAGGGGTAAACAAGGCGGTACTTTTGAGCTGGAGAGCTGAGACGTTATCAATGCTGTCTCGAAACAGCGTAAGTAGGCATTTTTAATGCAAAATCTCTCGTAAAGGGGTTGCCAAAAGCCCAAAGTTTAAAATTACAGCTTAAATTTCAATCACTTTTGAGTCGAATATGGTAATGAGATTTAGCAAGCAAGCAAGCAATTGTTTAGCAAGAAATTTTAGCAGCAGCAATTGTTTAACAAGAAATTTTAGCAGGCAGCAAAACTACTCCAAAATTTCCTCCATTTTAGGCAACTCTTCGAATTGATGAAAGAGGCAGTATTTGGCAAAAACGCTCAACGATGTCTGTGTGGCTGATTGATGAAAGAAATTTTGCAACTTCTACGAGCTTAATACGAAATAATTTATAATGTAACGGAAATTTCCACGTTTTGATTCATTTTGTCTAGTTTTCACGTTTTTCCTCCCAGATTTCCACCAAAAATTCATTGTGATTTTTCTTTTTTCCCTAGTCTGCCATTTCTGAGTTTAATAAGTGTGCCAGCCTATAAGAAATATGCCGTTAGTATAGCAGTATTCCCGCAGGGTGCGCAAGTTATCTCACTATTCCTGTCAAAAATCGACGTCTTTTCTCTTAATGGTGCTTTTGCTGCAAATTCCCTCCATTTTCCCGAAAATTCTCTTAGATTTGTGATATATAGCTGGATTTGTAAATTAAAACTGTCTTGATCCTAGAAACGTTTTTCTTGCATTCAGATCTTACGACAAAATGATCTTTGGTGTTAAATGTTGAAAAGCTTTGCTTTTAAGGTCACAGAAAAACGAAAGTAAACTTAAAATAGCTGTTAGAAGTGACATTGAGTAGGATAATTATCTTAAATTTAAACCCTCATTCTGACAGTGTCGGACTTTGTCGCAAAATTTCATTGTCATTTCAAAATTTGATAGTTTGATCGATTGGACTTGGGGCGTCTTATTGTTTATAAGTTTTTGGTCGTTATTTTCATTTATTTGTTCATTTATTCTTAAACTTTTAGTGCTAAATTTAGCTAACTTTCTTACATTTTAAGTGCTTTTTGTCGGTTAGAAAGTTTGATTAAGCGTTTCTTTGTCCAATTTTTTTTCATCTATATCTGAGTTCGAACTATAAAGGTTAACTTTTGGTTAAACCTTTGGGTTAAATTTAGTCGTTAATCGATGTTGTAACGTTTTGATGGAAATTTTGCGAAATTTTTTTAACCCTGTTAGTTTTGGAAAATTTGATTTGTGTCCGCATTGTTCTAGGTGATTAAAAGTGCAGTTTTTCATGATGCAGTAGATGTTTCGAATTGAGCGATTGAATTTGAGCGGTTACTTCAAGCCCAAAGCAAGATTGAAGCAAGATTGAAGCAACTTGGCATCGTCGGTACTCGTCTTGTTTGGATCCTTTAAGAAAAACCCCAACAATGAACGGTCCTGTCTGATTGTTGTTTTAGGTGATCGATCACTTTTTGAATGTTGTTGCACATTTCCCTCTAGTTTTTGTCGTTTACAAAGCCTGGTTCCTTTTGTCTCCAATTCGATTCCTTTTCTCTCTTACAGATTTGGTTCCTTTTCTTACTATTCCGTTCCTACTTTATCAACGATAAAATAGAGCGATCAACGATAAAGAGATCACAAATGGTCGTCACTTTCATCCCTCCTTGACGAGCTTTGACAATTTTTTCCTTAGTCGGAGTGTCCAGATATCGGAATATGGAAAAAAAAAGCTCGTAGGGAATCTAAAAAATAAATTAATGCACAAAAAATAAAAACAGACAAACAAAAGTCAGAAAACAAAAAGAAAAAGTTTACAAAGAATACAACGATGGTGCAAGACTTCTTTTGCGCTCTAAACCGAGTTCTCTAATAAAACTCATTTTTATGTCAAAAGAAATAAATTGCAGCCAAAATGAATAATATAGTCGGAAACTAGACCACCATGGTAGAATTAGTTGCCAAAAAGGTTTCTCTGTTTTTTTGTTTTAAACCTTTGGGAGACAATGGTGCGAAGACTTTTTTGCTGACTGTAAGTGCCAATTTTAAATTAATTGCCCAGTCTAGCTAGTAAAATAAACATTTTGAGCAAAATTCTTTCGTTTCTTTTCTAAGTCACCACGCTTTTTCAAAGATTAACTCTTTTTGCAGGTTGAATGATGTCAAGCGAAATGCTGTTCGAGATGGGAGAATGAAGAAGTTTCCAATTGAAAGGCTCCCGTAAGAATTGAAATTGGAAGTTCTGAAGGAAATGGAGCACTACGATTCGAGCAGGTTACTGCAAGTGAAGCAAGTATTTCGAGCCGATGATTCTCAGCCGATCAACGATGATTTTTGGATATCGCGTGGAAGAATCGAACTCGGACCCGTTTCAATACACGTTTCCAATACTACGTTTCAATACACGTTTCAATACTACGAATCTCGGAATTCTCACCACCAACGATGAGGTTCGGATCTGCAAATTTCCTGGATCAAGTTGTCACTGTCACACACAACCACAGATCAAGCTGTCGAGTCTGGAGATCAGTCGACGATTTCCGCTCATCAAGAATATCAAGTTCATACAACACGTTGTGATTCGAAATTGAATACGGAGTGACTCGACGAACATTACATCACAATCATGAAACATGAAACCATGCCCATAGCCCCTGGCTTGAGCTTGGCTTGAGCTTTTGGCCTGGAGGGACCAAGAGGAGTTGACGATGAGTCTGACCAGGAGGATTGACTCTACCAGTTTTTGGTCTCATTCGTCGTGAGACAAATTTCCAGTCCAGGTCTGATCCAAGTCGATAGCCAGGTCTGGGATCAGGGTACGCTTATCGCTAGTTTCTATCGCATATCCATTTCTCTACTTGTTTCCAGATTTTCTCACTTTCATCGCAAAGTTCTCAAGCTTTCCCCGCCATCCAATTATGAGTTCTGAATAATGGATGAACTTTGAGCAAAAAAAGGGAAAAAATTTCTTTACCCAATAAGGAAGTGTGTGTGTGTGTGTGTTTCAAGAAGAAAACTTTTTTACACGTTTTTTTTTACAGCTTAAAAGCGTAGTTGAGTAGAGTAGCTCTTGAGTGAAGTGATCGGTTCAAAAATATGTTTTCTCGATTCTCGTCTTTGAAGCTTGGCGATTCGTCTTTGAAACTGGAGACTGAGACGAGATTTCTTACTATACTCTCTCCGTCTCGCTCAGAATCACTCGCAAATTTGAGAGAGATCCCCAGCTCAAATTTTCCTCAATCCTAGCGGACTTAATTTGTTATTAGATAAAAATAATTAAATAAAATTTTCCTTAATTCCCCTTTTCCCGCGAAAATTTCCCTGTTTTAAGTACTTGATTTTGGGGTTTTAATGCGACCGAATACCTATCAATTAACCCATTAAAACTTGTCTAAAAGCTGGCCAATTCAGCTAAAGAAATCTCTGATTTTTACCTGAAGCTCACTTTGATTTTGATCAAAAACTTTTCGAAAGTTTATCGAAAAAATTTCGGAAGAATTTCTGGGCTTGGTTTTTGAGAAATCATCGTGCAAACTTTCTATGAACTTTCATATAACCTAACGTAAATACTTTAATAGTACTCCACGATCATAATGACGGTGCGGAGCGTTGCGTAGTCTAGCTTTGAACGAGTTTTTCTCGACACTGGTTTATGCTACAATGTGCGTTTAGGTATCAAAAAATAGCTGATTGGGGCTATTTTTGATACCAAAGACGCATTTTTGAAAGTACGGGTGCTTTGCAAAAAAATTAAATACTAAAAACTTTTGCGACTACCCGACTGTACGAGGGAGGTGGGATACTATTATGTATTTACGGTAGCTTGTTTGGGCTTCACCTAGCTTGGCCTGACTTTGAAAAATGTTGACTTTCCTGCTTTCCTGGGCTTGAGATAAGAGTTTTTAGGAATATTTCACGAAATAAGCCTACTCTTCATGATGCCTACTCTTCAATAAAGCCTACTCTTCAATAAAGCCTATTTTGAAATCATCTGGCCTCTAATTTGCATTTCTTTTTGAGTTTCAAGCTTTGTTCCATAAAAGAGCTGACCATATCATTTAGAGACAGGAAATTCGAGGTTTTTCCTCAGCTTTGTTTCCTTTTTTTGGTTTGAGATCAAATTT